AAATAACGCAAATCCATAAGCAGTCGAGATGATCTGTGCTGTTATCTGTCTGTCCACAGACTGACAGGCAGATTTCTGTAGGTTTCTTGTCTGAATCTCTTACAAACAGTGTTGCTTGTTGTGTTTTCCTTCAGGGGAAAAAAAAAGGTTTGGTGATTTTCTCTCTGAGAATCATGCATATTTCACTGACTTCACACATTCTCCAGTTTTTATTTTGCTGCATTTTCGTTTTTATTTTTGCTTTTTTACATAGTTTCCATTACATTCAGATTCATTTTCTGTGTTTAGATATTTATTTTTTTAACAGTGGCTGCGGTGCGCAGGACACGCTGCTGCGTGTTACAGCTGACGCTGCATCTTTTACGCGTACTTCTCTTCTCTCCTCATCCTTTTGCATAGAGGGCATAGAGACAGAAATAAGGAGATATTATCTAATGGTTGTAAACTGCAGCCACTAAACAACATTTGTCGATTGTTGCCCCTTCTTTTTGACTTTTCATAATTTAATCAATCAAATGCCCGACTTTGTTTCAATTTGCGGGACGCCCGGGGCAAGAGTGAATAATGCTGGACAGTCCCACACAGTTTGCCTGGGGGTAAATTACCTGCTGGTTAACTGTCCTCTGTTGTGGATGAGAGGAGAAGAAAGAGGAGCTGCTTCATAGCAACACTCCTGTCAGAACGTGCAGCGCGTTCATTGAGCGACAGCTGCTGCTGGTGCGCACGTGTGGTGAAGGGAGGGTGTGGGCAATATTATTATTAACAATATTAAAAATATTACTATTACAGTTGTACACTCAATAAGAAGTGCAACCAATAGATGAAGCATAAAAAAACYAAGCTGGTTCGACATGGGGCACTTGATGGTCCGGAGGGAAAAGGGCAGGTGCTCGAGCACCACCTGACGTCTYCCTGTGCATGTCCATGGTTTTCCTYATGGCCTCTGGCAGCTCAACTGTGGKACTTACAATGTCAAATATATTAGTGTTTTGGTTCATCAGCTATAAAAGGAAGTAGTGCAGTCAAAATATTTGAGCCTCCCAGCCGAAGAAGCTTTAATATTGACAGGAGATATACTGAGTGACTTTGCGGCTGATCTCGTCCAGGATGCGCTGGGCGTTTTCCTCCAACACGGCCAGATCTGCAGCTTTGTCCTCCAGGATCTGCTGATTGGCTTCGTAGGAGCGCTCCAACTCTGTGAACACAWCAAATATCAGAACTGACATTGCTGTTTATTCAGTTGTTTTTGTTCGTGTAGTTCTGATTTACTGTATCTATGACCTTGTGATTGTGCTGTTTTAACCATTCTTATATCAAAAGATTCAGCTCAGTCAGAAGTGTGCTGACTTTTAATACTTATAACTTGGACACTTTTGAATTATTTCACGTTAAATCCCCTTAAAAATACATTGAGATATTTTTAATACCTTAAAAACTCTTTGTCTTCTTGTGCTCCTTTAAGTTTTAGCRACAGTTTTGCTARATTTAGTTTCTAGCTAAGSTTCTGACAAWCCCCTTCACAGTCTACTTTAACATTAGACTTTATTTAATAAACATAACTGTAAAATAAAGAGTGTAAAAATACTGTAGGCTGTTTAGTTTTATAATTTTTAAACTAAAATTTAAAAAATACCTGTATATTATACAGACGGGGCCATTTTATTTACACACAAAGCATTCTGGGTAAATGATGATGTGGACAGGGCCTTGGTG